TAGTGAAACTGATGTGTTTCAGGGACTTCCTGATGCTGTCTTGAGTTGTTTACCTTTCCATTTAAAGAGTTTCCATATAGGAATCTGTTCATTCTTGGAGGAAACTGTTTAGACAATATAGACCAAATCCCATATTAACATAGATCTAAAAATTCTCATATAAAATACTTGGAAACTGAATCTAAGAACACATAAAAAAAAAATCACCCACCATGGTCAAGTACGTTTTATCCCAGAGATACAGGAATGGTTCAGCATATGTAAATTGATAAATGTAATCCACCATATAAATAAGCTGAAAGACAAAAAAAATGCACGATCATCTCATTAGATTTAGAAAAGGCCTTTGAGAAAATCCAACACTCCTTCATAATAAAAGTCCTGTGGACATTAGGGATACAAGGGGCATACCTCAACATAATAAAGTCTGTTTACAAAGAGCTCATAGCCAACATCAAGTTAATGGAAAGAAACCCAAAGCAATTCCATTAAGATCAGGAACAAGGTTGTCTACTCTCTCCAAACCTATTCAATATAGTATGTGAAAAATGTATTTTCAATAAAAGACGCACAACTCTTTTCTTACCCAGTCTGAGTATTTCTGTGACTCTCATGGTGGAAGAAAAGTTTTCATGAACTTAAACTTTGAGTAAGTGGGTGCTTCCCCCCCCCCCCGCCCCCTTTGCTTGGTGACGTGCCATTCTTACTGGAGACAATCTGGAAAAAGAGAAACAAGAACCATGTAATGTTCAATATTACAACTTCTTAAAAGATATAAAACACTAGAAGTTATTATTTGAAGCACCACACACAGATTATGATAAGCTTTATGAAACATTTGAGGAGTTTGGATGTTCTCTCCGACACTCTGAATATCCGCTGACGTTGTAACCAAAAAAGATAGCAAAAGGTACATTTTAGAAGTGTTAGAAATCAGGGTGAAAGTGAGCAGCCAGGTCATAAATGGGAGGCTTTGATGGATGAAGAAGGCCTGAAGCAGGTGATGGGGCCGAGAAGAAATGGGGAAGGTTAACATTCAAGATGAACAAAGATAAAATCATCAGCATCTTAACTCAGCCAACATCACCACAAAAGTAATACATAATTCATTCATATGTCTACTGATAATTTATGCATATGTCTCCTGAGCAAAGACCAAACATCCTGAATAGTATACAAAATGTCACATAGCACTTAAATGTTCTCTTTAGGAGTGGTAGATACAATATTAAGTATTTGTAACATTATCTTTAATTTTTATTAAGATTTTATTTTATGTGTCTGTGTGTGGTTAGGTGCACTTGGGTGCAGGTGCCTGTTGAAGCTAACTATGGAGTTGGATCCTCTGGAACTGGAGTTACAGGCAGTTGTGAGCTGCTGACATGGTGGTGGGAACCGAACTCGGGTCCTCTGCAAGAGCAGTTTTTATTCTTAACTGCTGCACTGTACTTCCAGCCCCATATTCATGTTTTTAAATAGATTTTTATTTGGCATTTATTTTGTGTTAATATTCCCTTTGGTTTTATATTTACCATCCAAAAATTTGTTTCAAGGTGAGATCGTCTTTGCATATCATTTTACTATACCATGTTGGCTAAAATAATATTAAAGCATTTATCATTATCTTTTAAACAGACCTTCTGGTACTTTTATACAAGAAAATTTTCACTATTACTGTGGTCATTCTTTAAGATATATAAATCATGAAAATACAGACTAATTATGATATTTGGCATTACTCCTGTAAAAATCCCAAATATTGAGAACTTAAGATACTAGAGGCTTTTCTGTATTTCTTAACCAAGTTTTCTCAGGATTTTAAATATTGTATATAATCCCAAGAAATACCAGTGTAGATAGAGCACCAGACAGCATCCTGGTCATGTTAACATGCAGTGCCTCATTTGGTTCTCCCAGGTATACGGGCTTTTCTAGTTCCTGGCTCACAGTTACAGATGAGGAAGCTAAAACACACATCGTTAAGCAGCTAGCGCCCTCAGGTCCACACCGCTGGTAGGAGGCAGAGCAGACTTAAACACAAGCAGTCTGGCTCCCAAACACATGCCTTCAGCTCACACACTGTTGACCCAGCCAGATGTGGGCTCTGGAACGGAGAACAGCAGACAGACTAGGGAAGAATCGTGTCTGTTTGTTTCTCAGATTCCAAAGGGCCTGCTAGGCCATGTGTACAGCCTGTGTGTAATGGCTTATGCAAACCAAAACAGTGGGTTTGGCTGTTTTTTTTTTTTTTTTTTCACCCTCCCACATGACAGTTCCCCAGACCACATGTCTATGTTTGGAAGAGGAAAGTTCAGAGGGACACATCCCCCTCATCCTTCATGTCAGCGAATTGCTCCTGTCCCCACACAGGCCTGACTGGTTTCAGGGTGGGATGTTTCTTTTCTGTTGTAGTCTGGTGTTTGCTGACGGTTTGCCCCAGCTCAGCTTTCCTGATTTGTTTCTTCTTAATCCTTCCTTATCAGTGTGTGTGTGTCTTCTGTCACCTGATTACATCTGAGTAAGCTGTATCATGGCACGTCAGCCTCATTGAGCCACAGCAAATGGTCTTGGTGTCTGCATCTGAAGACAACAGTGAAAAAAAAAAACATCGGTGGCCTCACCTTTTAGAGTAACTCTTTACAGCAGCATCCCTTTGAGTTGACTGACTGCTTTGTACATGCCCAAGTGCTGCTTAGAGGAGCTGTTCAAAATTCCCCCAGCTGTCTCTGGGGATGTCAACAAAATTAGTAGCTTGATGTGAACTGATTGAATTTTTAGAGTTTGGGACCTTAAGGGAAAAAATGGAAGAAAACCAGTAGCAGTGTGTGGGATTGTAGGGTGGGTCACCCCCGGGTTGGTGCCTTTGTTGCCTGGAGACTTTGGGATGTCTGAAGGAGGAGTTCTGCAGATGGTTGGTTGGTTTTACCAATGGTGCTAGCCCTTTGCATGGTTAGGTGCTGTGTAGAGATGCACCCGTGTAATGAGGTAGTGTTAAGAGTCTTGCTGGAAGGCAGGTGTGTTTATGAGGATTATGGTCTTTGGCCCTGGACAAGTCTGATTTGACAGACTTCTGTGACTCGTGTACACGTGATGTCATGGCTACTCAGATTTCTCGGTTTTGGAAAGCAGGGAACATAGAAACTAATCATGTTCTGAAGATGAAATCAGGTCTACTTAAAGCTCTGTCTGTCTGTCTGTCTGTCTCTCTCTCTCACACACACACACACACATATGAAAAGGAAATAATGTGTGCAAAACAAGTAACCATTAAGTATATTGACTTAGCTATGTATAATCCAATCCATATACGATATCCATGTAATATGGACTTAACTTTTCACTCCCACAGAAAGGGCAAATACCAAGTCTCTCTCCTTGGTCTGGCCTGTGATATTGATCTTACTTCAAGTGTGTTTGATGAGTCCATCATTCATGAACTCATCCCACTGTATTATGTTTGAGGGTTTAGACAACCCTGACAGCATTGATATATGAGGATCTGTGGCTTTGGTTTCCTCCTCGCCTGGATTCTATTCAATTTCCAGGTGCTCATTAGGTGGTCCTCCCTTGTGCACCATTAGCAACCTGAGGTCTGTAGCCCCGGCTGGCATTTAACCCACTTACTGAGACTCCTTACCTCATTAAGGTCTGTCCTGTTGATAGTCCTGGCACTATTCTCTGGATTACCCAGCCCAGAGAGATGGTCTCCATAAGTATTTATGAAGTGAATGGGAGAACTGATAAAGCCAAGCCCCTCTGGCTTTGATGTAGATAAAGATGAAAGTCACTAGCAGATAACTAAATCGTAGTGCCATATAAAAGTCAAGCCAGGGTGGGGACAGTTCCCAACAGAGGCTCAGGAATTCTTGGACTTTGTGTCTGGTGCTTTTCACATGTGCCATTAAATTTGCAATTTTCTGGATGTTTCTGATTCCAGCTAAAGGGAGGCAGTAGGGCCCAGAGCAAAGATAATAGACGGCCATCCATACAGTTGCAGTTTCTAGCAACCAGCTGTGCGCTCTTATTAGCCAGCTAGCTAAAATTTCAATGTCTTTATTTGTTCAGTAGGCTAATACTAAAAATATCTCAAAGGGTCATTGGAAAAATAGCGACATATAAAAATGTACCCAATTCTTGGCATATTTTTGCTATTGTGGTGAGTCATTTAAATTTTGTAGGAATAAATGACTAAACTGTGTTAGTACTGTTGAGTTGCCCAGTTAGAGCCTTTCTCAATATGCCAGTGTGGTGGCTTTGAAAATAAAGCACAGAACAAAAATCTCCTTATGTGGGGAGCAACACTTACTGGCTACTCTGGCTTTTTCTACTCTGGACCCATTGTTGCTCTGCATCAAGACCAAGCTTCCCTGAGCCTCTCCTAGAGAGTTAAGAGGCACAATGGAGCTGCTAATGTAGGCTATTCTTGCAAGGGCATGGTGTGCCTTCAGTATATGACTTAAGCTCAAGAATGCTCTGTATGCCTGGTGGGAAATTCTGTGAAATGATACTGTGGTCTAAGGTTCCTCTTTTCCAGACTCCCTTCTGCTCCCCTTCCAACATTTTGTGATACCTAGAATTAGAGCATAGAGTTGGTTCTTTCTCTGTCATGCATAAAATGAACTGTGTACACTGTAACCTGATCTTCATGTCACTGCATTTCCCTAGGGTTACAACGTGGTGCTTCCGATCACAGACTGTCAAGGACAAGCCATAACCTCCCTAGTCAGGAAAGACCACTAACATTAGGCTGTGATTCACTAGTCTGGAGCTCGAGTTACAAGGTTGTTCTTATTTAGGACAGTCTTTACTAGTTCTGTCTTTAATATGCTGTCATGATTTTCTTTAGCATTTGTGAACCAACAATTTCTTCTCCCATTAAAAAAAAAAAGGAAGAAAATTGGCAACTCTCCAGTGTGTGTATGATGGCATCTTTGTGCTGATTTCTTTGTTCTCCTTCTTCATTCCATCAAGCTGTCACTTGATTATTGTCTTTGTGACAGACCAGGTCCAGGGAACAGTCACCATCCGGAATATCAGTGCCCTGTCTTCGGGTCTGTACCAGTGTGTGGCTTCTAATGCCATCGGGACGAGCACCTGTCTCCTGGATCTCCAGGTTATCTCACGTAAGTACATAGAATTAGGCGGCCAACTCAAGGTGCAGATGTCTAAGGCCTTTGTTAAGTCATAAAATGCAGGGTTCATCATAATGGTTTGGAGAGTGTGAAGAGTAAACACATTCTTTTACTCATTGTTGAAAACGTTTTATAAAAATGTTACTACTTAAGCCTCCTGGATATGCTCATCCTTGTGACAAAGTGTCTTCTCAGGACCATCAGAGCCAAACTAATCTTCATGTCATGGTGCTGTGGACATGACATTAACCTGCAGTCATGGTAGAGCTCTCATAATACTCTTGTCTCCCCCACTACCCCTAATTCCTTAGATTTTCTGGGTGTTCAGTTATAAACAAGCAGTGCGGAGCCCTTCTTTTTGGTGGGGAAGTCTAGATTATATTTATTCTGGTTGTAGAAGGGAGTCATGTGACCGGGATGAGGCCATAAAATATCTGAGCTCTGAGGCTCTCTTGGGGCACTAACTAAAGCTGGTTGGGTAGGTACTGTTGCCTGCCCTGCTCAAGCTGCTACTCTTCTGGGGCCTTGGAAGGTTTTGGTGTTTTACTCATTCAACGCTTGCCAAAAGCCTACTGGGAATGTCAAGGGTTAGGCAAGATCTGACTTCCTGTGGGATGGTTTTGTACATTTTCTTCATTCAATGATTGCCGAAAGCCTACTGGGAATGTCAAGGGTTAGGCAAGATCTGACTTCCTGTGGGATGATTTTGCACCTTTTAAACAGACTTATTTGTGTGAATATTGCTGCATGGCATGTGCTGTTTCTTTCTCGTTTACTTGAATCTGCCTTAAATATCTTTTGCAGCCCAGCCCCGAAGTGTTGGAGTAATAGCTGGAGCTGTTGGTACCGGTGTGGTTCTTGTCATTATTTGTATTGCACTGATTTCAGGGGCATTCTTTTACTGGAGAAGCAAAAATAAAGAGGAGGAGGAGGAAGAGATTCCTAATGAAATCAGGTTAGTCGATCAGATGCCTCGTCTAGCCGAGTCATGTGGATTTCTAGTTTAGAGTCAAGGTTTCTTTGCCAGTTTTATAACTCCTTTGATCAAGGTCATAGAAATGTCCAAATGCCATTTTCTTGCTATGTATATCCATTTTCCTCATGGTCATGCTCATTTTTTAATTCACAAAGATCCTTCATGAACCTGAGTAGGATGAAGAGCTCCCCTGGGCCCCCACATCTGCAGGGTAGATGGTGACTGTCACACCAGAAAAGTTAGCCCATAAAACCTGTGTTTCATGTCGGCCATTATAATAGATGGTAACATGCAGAAGTAAAGGGGATTACCTCACAAACATACCAGTTTCTCCTCCGACTTATGCACTGTACTGTGGTTTGGTATGAAGGAGCATATTAATCATATTTCAACAATATAATAATATACACCAGGCATCTGACTTTACGTAAAAATACTTTTGGTTGATGCTTCCGGAGGAGCTATCTCTAGGGGTTATTGACTGGTGGAGGCTTCCTGTCTGAATCACAAGGCAGTGCATAGCATCACACCCAGAGAGACAGTGTGTATGTATCTGTCGGATCTTTCTTTTCTCACAAAGCAGCCGGGATCCAGTCATTGTGCCCCATCCTGATGGCCTTACCTAGTCCTAAACACCAGCCAGGACTCCTGCTTCTCAATGTCATAGTTAATTATATTTCACCCACAATGGAGATCAATTTTCAACCCTTAATCTTAGTCCCTTAGTGGACATTACAAGGCATAAAAAATATAGCAGGCAACTCATAAGAGAATACAAATGTTTTAAGAGAAAAAAATGTCAAGATAACCTTTAAAGAAAAATAGCTCATGGGATTCGAGGGTCCAGACTGTCTCAGACTTGACTACATCGTATCCTTGTGGATCTGCCTTAATGACTGGTGACTTCTTGGCATACTCAGCCTTTCTGAATTTGGTTCCCCTTCCTTCTCTGGTCTTCCTCTCTGCTGCCAGTTCTCCCTGTTCCCATCCTCTAGCCCATCATCAATACACCACCATGGTTCTTCAAGTTCTGCTAGTGATACAGTCTAGACACCATGATTGACTTTTTCAACTTCTACACGTGCTTAACTTGCTTTCCTGGGTATAATTTAGTGAATTTCTTTGTGGGTTGTTATCTTTATAGTTAAAAGATGTGTGTGTGTGTGTGTGTGTGTGTGTGTGTGTGTGTTTCTATATCTGTATATCATATGTATTTCAGTTATATATAATTTTATCTTTGTTTTATTTCAGAGAGGATGATCTTCCACCTAAATGCTCTTCTGCCAAAGCATTTCACACAGAGATATCCTCCTCAGAAAATAACACGTTGACCTCTTCCAATACCTACAACAGTCGATACTGGAACAACAATCCCAAAACCCACAGAAACACAGAGTCCTTCAACCACTTCAGTGACTTAGGCCAGTCTTTCTCTGGCAATGCCGTTATCCCATCCATCTATGCAAATGGGAACCATCTGGTCTCTGGCCCTCATAAGACTCTGGTAGTGACAACCAACCGGGGGTCATCACCCCAGGTCATGCCCAGGAACAATGGTTCAGTCAGCAGGAAACCCTGGCCTCAGCACACACACTCCTATACCGTCAGCCAAGTGACCCTGGAGCGCATTGGGGCAGTACCAGTCATGGTGCCTGCCCAGAGTCGGGCAGGATCCCTGGTGTAGGATGTTTGAGGATGCCGTGTCCAGAAGAGAATAAATGGAATGCCTCCCGACAAGGGGGAGAGCAGGGGTGGGTGAGTGCTGGAAAGATAGACTTTTGTTATGATTACATTAGTAAAAAGCACCAAGAGGGCGGTGCTATGGCCTGGCCACTGCAATGTGTGACGTGGCCTGGAATATTCCGTCATGAAGACTCAAGAAGATTGTTTGCCCACCACGGTTGTCCTGGGATTCAGTTAAAAAATGCTGTATCTCAAATGATGTGCCAAGCCAAGGAGATTTCTAGAAGCAGAATAGCACGTAAGAACCCAAACCGTGGTCCAGGTGGGCCTGTTCTTTAATTCTTGCCTAACTTAATAATTTTCAACAGACTTTAAGTGCCAGGTGGAATTTAAATAATGAAATTACTTTTTAAAATAGGTGTCTTTACAAAACAAACAAACAAACAAACAAACAGAGCAAGCTTGTGTCCTGTTCTGCCTCTCCCTCCTCCCTTTAATGGTGAGGGCTTAATGGTACTAGCGATGCATTCCTACTGGGCTGGCTCTTTATCATAGAGGCGAAACTTTGTACGGAACACAATTTGGCTAGAAATGGGGAGAAATAAGGAAACGTCTTGTGAACACCCTACACACTTATTTATTTACCTCTTCCTGAACCATGAACTTCCATATCTGGGATTTTGCTATATTGACAGATTCATGTCTGTGTTACTCTGGGATCTCTTACAGGTCCATGGCAATTACTGTTCATGATTTCCTGAAAAGAATATTTTTTTAAAAGAAAACTATTTTTGTTTAAATACAGTGGACTAGGAAAGCATGAACTTAACACCTTGTCCAGTGATTGTACTCAGTGACTGGGCAGAAAGCCTTCACCGTTCAGGGGATCAAGTAGGCTGTCCAGAAAACAGATCGGAGGCAGGTGGGAGGGGCCTTTGCCTTGCAAGCAGGACCCCAAAGAAGCAAGGTTGTTGTGTAAGGCAACCCTGCTGTCACACAGGTCACTTTTAATGAGGGCAGGGCCTGATGTCTTTTGTACTGAGGAGGATAATTCCTTCTTGTTTGACAAGTAGAGGTTAGTAGGTTGTTACAGAAAGGGCAGGAGTTGTTTTGGTTTTGTTTCTTTCAAAAGAATTCTTTTTTGCAAAAGAATAATAAGGGTTAGACAAATGGGAGGTCTTCCAGATCTTCCAGTGTGCTCTTGGGGATTTGCTTAGCATCTGAAAATGTGGGTGTGCAGTTTTGCCGAGATGCATTGCATACCAGTGTAAAAAGACACCTCCCCCCCCCTTTTTTTTTGGCTAATTACTTGGCTTGGCTAGCCTTGCAATTCACCAGATTCATTTACAGACTTTCTGCTCTAGATTGTGCTGTGTGTATGTGGCTGTACTTGTATCGTTGACTATCTTGCCTTAATCACACTTTAGGGCAACTCGTGATGGTGATTTCTTTCAAGATTTGTTTTTCAAGTTGTTTGTACTGAGCCCACAATTTTCAAAGCACCTTTTTTTCCCCCTTACATTCCCTCTGTCCCTCTTCCAGCAATCTTCTTGCCTTCCTTGCCTGTGGGCATGGTCTTCACAGGGAGTGGCCTCTTGGCTTCAGTTATTGCAGGGAATGGAAACCAACAGTGATTGCCTATACTGTTTTTCCAAGAGGGCCACACTCAGAACTTCACTGCTGTGACCATTTCAATGTTGATAAGATGAATTTACCATAGTGTTACTTTTTTTTATTTGATGGTTATTGACTTTGTACAAATTTAAATAAATGAATGTCTATACTTTTTAAAGAAAAGTGAAAATACCATGCCACAGAAGAGATAATACTATCAGATGCTGTTTAGAAAGCATTTATCTTGCATTTCTTTATTCTTTCTAATTGCCTAAAATTCAATAAAAGTTTATTCATATAAAGTGCGTTGTCATTAATTGTCATAGTAGTAATGGATCCATGACCTTTAATTTAATGCTCCCTTGGTGTTATAAGCATTCCTCTAGTCTGTAAAATAATATCCCTAATTGTTTTAATGGACATGGGGTATTTCTAAAGTGACTTAACTTTTCTTGTACTAGACTTCTAAGTGAGTTCTAGTTGTCACTCCTAGGACTGGGCATGTAATGACCATTTTGGAACATTTAGCTTTTTCCACATCGTTCATCTGAAAGTTCCTGAAAACAGGTGTTAGACCAGAAGTTAACCTCCAATCCCCACCTGCCCAAGGACCGGGTGACTTCCTGGGATTCTGGGGGTTGGAGATCTTGGAAAATAGCAACAAAGCCTCGTGGGAAAGTACAGTGGCCTGTGACTTTTGCCCATATAAATTCCATCAAAACGTGTCTCGAGGCCACTTAACCTAGAAAATTTCCAGATGATGGTGCTGACCAAAATTCCATCTTGGTCAGTATTTATGTTTTTACTAAAAGCTTGCATAAATTTGGCCAAAATGGTGGGCCTGGTTTTTCTGCCAAATTTCAGGATTAACACAGGACCCAGGCTATTTCCACTACTGAATCCATCATCAGCTACCACAGTGAGATCTGTGAGCACTGCATACATAAATGACTGAGGATTTCTGAGCTAAATCAAATTAGGGGCATGATTGAATGTAATCCCTGATATATATTGGAACACATTTTTCTAAAATAAATATGAGACTTTGTTTTCCAATTTTTCTATTGAGATAACAATAGTGTATTTATAGGCAGATGTAAGAAACATAAAAACCACAAATCTCTTTAATTTAATTTCTCTGTCCAGAGATATTTTGAATAGCTATGATATATCACAAGTGAATATTAATAAACTCATTAATCTTATTCAGAATTCAAATCCTGCATTTTCATTCAGTTGTGGTTATATATTAATGTACTTTTAATTTGTTAGGCAGGGTCTCACTGTATAGTCTAGGCTGGTCTTGAAGTTGTAGACTTTCTGTATTTGAGTGTCAAGTGTTGGGATTACAGGCATGCCCCATCATACCTGGCTTTAGTTATATACAACTTTTATCACGTGTAGATTCATTTGACCATCACAACAGCTGAGATATCATATTCTATGTGCTACTCTTTCATAGTCATAATCATCTCCCTCTTTGCAGGCCCCTGGTACTTGGAAAACTACTGCCCTGTGCCCCATATCTGCCATTTTGTCATTTTGAGAATGGTGTATAAATGCAATAAAGTATGCAACTTTTAAGAATTAACTTTTTCTCAAGATCATTAACTTGAGAACCATCCATGTTGTTGGTTGTTGCATATATGAGAAAGTTGCTCCATATACCCCAGTTCACTTAACCACTTATCCACTGAAAGATGGGGAAGAAATTATGGTTGTTTCCACTTTTGCCTATCATGAATAAATCTGCAAATATTTATGTACAGGTTTTCATGTGAACCTATATTTTAGAAAATGGCAAGTGCAATTTCTGGCTTGCATGTGGTAAGCAAATGCTTGGTTTTAAAAAAAGAATGCATACATATTCTTCCAGAGTAACTAAACAGTTACACGTTTCTTCTAGCAAAATGGATAATCCAATTTCTCTGTATCTACTACATGTCTGGGCATTATGGACACTTTTAATGTTAGCCATGTTGGTAGGTATTTAGTGATATCTCACAGTGGTTCCGTGATTTTATTTTGCAAGCTCCAGTGGCTAATCATCCTGATGGTGAATGTGTTTCCATGTGCTTGTCATCCCTATATCATCTCCAGAGAAATGTCTGTTCCTGTATTCTGTCTGTTTTGGGGGTGCTTTTTGTTGTTTTTACTATTGGCTCTGGAGAGTTCTCTGTGTATAGTTTATGAAAGGTTTCTGTCGATATTTGCAGTTTCTCTGATCCGTAGGTTACTTTTTAATTTCCTTCATGGAATCTGGCACAGAACAAATTTCAACTATAATAGGGTTCTACTGGGTGCAGTACTTGAGCTCTGTAACGCCAGGTACTCCAGTGTCTGAGGCATGAGTTTTATGAGTTCTCAGCCCAGTAGGGCAGTCACTCTTTCTTACTTGCTCTTAGCCAAAAATCCAAGAATGATGTAAGAGATGTAAGAACCTACCAAAAAGCAAATTAGATAAGGTCCAAATGAATTGTTTTATTTATTTGTGTGTGTGTTCTTGCATGCATATGTGATAACATGCATGTGACATGGCCTACATGTGAAGGTCAGAGGACAACTTGTAGGAGTTGATTCCCTCTTTCCATCAGGTTGATCCCAATACTTGAACTCGGGTCATCAGGCTTGGTGGCAAGCACCTTCTCCGCTGAGCCATCTCTCTGCCATGGTTTTCCTTTTATTGACTGCTTTTTGTATCAAGGCTAAACTCTTCATTTAGACCAGGGTCCTAAATATTTTTACCATTTTCCCTAAATTGTTTTATGCTTTCACATTAAATTCTCTAATCAGTTGAATGTTTTGGTTTGGTTTTTGTTGTTGTTATTGTTTTTTAAACAGTAGGTAGTTTCGGTTGAGGTTTATTATTTTGCTGTGTGGGTCTCCTTGCTGTCTGTCCTCAAGTAAATTGCTTTCCACTTTTGTGAAATGGACTGGACCCTCCCACATCGATCACTAATTAGTAAGGTGCCTTACAGGCTTGCCTACAGCCACGTTTTAGACCTTAAGGGGGAGGCATTTTTATGGAGACTGAGACTACATGCACAGGGCCTATATGGATCTGCACCAAATGGGGTCCTAGAGCTGAAAGAAGTGAACACATTCTCTGTCCGTAACCCAGAAGCTATCTTCAACAGAAAGCAACTTGCTGATGAAAAATTAATTGTCTGCAAGGGAGTATCCCTGGAAAAGCAAACCATTCTTAAGGGCAGACCCCATGCCCAGTAGTAGACAGCCAACACAAAACAAACTCAACAGCAGCTTTGGAGGATTTTTTTTTTTTTTTTTTGCCATATGTTAAATCAGGGCATTTGTTTTTTACCTTATAAGTCCTTTATATTATGGCTTCCAGTTTGGGGTTTTTATGAGATTCCTCTGTATACAAACTCTACATCTATATGCATTGTGTCTCTACATCTATATGCATTTTTTTTTACTTGTTTGGTTTTGTCATATTCCAATTTGTTTTTTTAATCTTTTATTTTATTTTACCTTATTATTGTCCTTTAGGAGCCTGTCTGTTTTCTAATGAAAGACAGAAAGGGGGTGGATTTAGATGGGAGGGGAGGTGGGAAGGGACTGGGAAGAGTAGAGGGAGGGGAAATCTTAATCAGAATATATTGTATAAAAATATATTTTCAATAAAATAAAAATGTTGTTTTCCTCACTTCCTTGTTGTCTCTGATTAGAGCAGGATCTGAAGTGATGTCCCTGTTCCATTCCTGACTTTGGTTACTGAATCTTCTACATTTCACTTTTTGTTTGTCTTACTAGGAATTCGTTGGGTTTTCTGACATTTTTTCTCAAAGGAATGGTGTTTTAATTCGTTGGCCTGTCTTTGTTATTTATTCCCTTCAGATTATATCAAATTTATGTTGATCTCATTTTCATCATTGTTTTGGGAGTGAGGAAATACTTTATTGATGGGAAACTTTTGTCGTCATCTAATGTATATATCTATAACTATAATTTTCCCTCAGAACTGTTTTCACTGCACTTCACATATTTTGACATGTTGTATTTTAGTTTCCATCCAGTTGTATGCATTTAAAAATTTTGTAGGAAGCTTCCTCTTTGGCCAAATTGGTGCTTAGTTTGGTTCCCTACCTATTTAGGTTGATGTAACTGTAATGAGAAAGCGCATTATATTTTTGTTCTTTTAAATTTGTTGAAGTTTGTTCATGGCTGTTCTGAGAGTAGGTCTGTATTAGTCCATGTTCCTTGAGTTCTTAAAATATTTATTCTGCTGCTATCAGGCTGACTTTTCCTTGGGTGCTAACTACATCATCTTAGAGAGCTGTGTTAGACGGTGTCATGTCTTTAACACTTTTCTATCTAGTAATTCAACTGCTGGAACTGGGGAGCTGAACCCCAATTTATAATTTTAGATTTGTTCTTTATGCTTTGTGTACCTTGAGAATGTGGTGTGTGTGTGTGTGTGTGTGTGTGTGTGTGTGTCTGTGTCTGTGTGTGTGTCTGTCTCTCTTCCTGGCAGATTGATTCTTTCATTATCATATAATGTTGCTATTTCTATTAACCAGTGCACTGAAGTCTACTTTATCTGATGCTGATTTACCAACTTTGACATTACTGAAGTTGGATGAGAATGTATTCTTCACCTTCTCATTCTCAGCATTTCCACACTACCATATTTTAGATGAGTTTCTTGTAGGCAGCATACTGTGTGACAACATTTCATATCTACCCTGTTAGTATCTACTAATTGCTGCATTTTGAACACTGACATTTAAGGTAATTATTGACTTTGGACTCATAATTGCTAGTTTTATTTTCAGTATCACCCAGATCTCCAGTTTCTCATAATTGTTTTCCTCTCCTTATTTTTTCCTTACACGTTTTTAAAAGTATTTTGTCTTGATTTATTTATAGTGCTTCCTATATAATGCTTTGTATAGTTTTCTTGCTTTAGATGTTAAATGTTACATATAAAACATGCCACAGTCTATACCAACATTTTGGCAATTTGATTATAGAAACTATTCTATTTATATCTAGTTATCTCCTCTTGGGTATAAGTTGTTGTATACTTCTGTTTTCAGTAATGAAAATATTTTTAAAAGATTTATAAAACTTGGGAAAAAAGTCATTGTACATACTCATGCTTTTGCTTGTTTTTAAAATTTCTTCCTTGCATGGTCCGAGATACTTTTAAAAATAATTTCATTTCTTGGAAAAACTCCCTTAGCTAGTCTTCAGGGTAGATCTTAAATTATCAGCAAATTCTTATTAGTTTTTATTTGTCTAAAATGTCTTTGTCTCCTCTTCAATCCCCACTGGATGT